AAGACAAATATTTCTCACCTGGGACAAGTTATGCTTTAATGCTGTTGCATTTTCTGCAAACTTTTTCGTTATGAGTTATCAACCAAAGCAGTCTTCCCTCCCCATTGTTCAGTTTTTTGTATTAGGAGCTTCTAGAAAATGTGTTACAAAATAAAGTCTCTAATTCTTCCCCTCACACTCCCTGCCCTATCTCTGTCTCATCCCTGGTAGTGTCAATTAAAGCTGATAGGCTTTCTTTAAGCAATCTGGGGTAAAGGTGGGAAAATCAAGTTCCAGGCACCAGATGTTTCCAGAGAGCTTGCATTATTGTTGGTGCTTATTTGTCACACAAGACAGAGGATATGGAATGCCTCCAGTCAAGTCATCTGAGCAGGTTTAGACATTTCTTAACATTTTTTTTCCCCACATCTGTAGTTGTTAGTATTCATTGGAATAAAACTTGACTTGTACTTACATCAGTGAGTCTATGAAAATGTATCCAAGCTTTCACTGGGATTTGCTGGAAAAATTTCATGACCATCCTCCTGCATTTTTCAAAAACTTCCTGGTTTTGGTTGGAATACAATTTATTTTCTTCCTAGTAGCTGGTACAGTGCTGTTTTTTGGCTTTAGTCTGAGAATAATGTCAATAAGAAACTGATGGTTTAGTTGTTGCTAAGTAGTGCTTAGTCTAAATCAAGGACTTTTCAGTTTCCCATGCTCTGCAAGTGAGGAGGGGCACAAGAAGGGAACACAGCCAGGACAAGTGACGTGAACTAGCCAAAGGGATATTCCATACCAGAGAATGTCATGTTCAGTATAGAAATGGGGGGAGTTGGTGGGGAGGGGCTAGTTGCTGCTTGGGGATGGGATGGGCATTGGTCGGCTGGTGGGTATTTGTGCATCACTTGGGTTTCTTGGGTTTTATTTCTCTCTCTTCCTTTTATTGTTACTATTGTTGGTTTTGTTACTACTATTAATATTATTATATTTCACCTTATTTCAATTATTATACTGTTCTTATCTCAACCCATGGGTTTTACTTTTTATCACTTCTACTCCCCATCCCACTAGGGCATGGAGGGGGAAGTGAGTAAGTTGCTGCAAGGCACTTAGTTGCCAGCTGTTGTTGAAAGCAAGACAAATAACTATTATCACCCACCTTTGTTTTTAAAGAAGTTGCCATGGCAATGGTTAATAGACTGGGTCAGAAAGCAGCTGCAAGATTTGTTCAGAAATGGATGAGCACAGCTGGAATTGCTGTTGTGGGCCATGTTTGGGTCATGCAAGGCAACCAGGAAAGTTACTTACCCACTGAAGTTTCATATTGAGTTATAGGCATCACTGTGGTGTTCTGTATGAGAAATCCTGAAGCTTTTAGCTGAAGTGGCGATACTTGGTTCTTTAAAAACCAACCAACCAAAAAACCCACCCACCCACTTTCTAGACCATATGGAGGTCTCTTGAAAGTGTAAGTCCTGCCGAGAGCTGTAGTTAGAAGTAGTTCCTAGGCTTGAAAGTGAGCAGTTCCTTGTTGTGGACAGGAAAAGTTTGAGTGCTTAGTTTGAACTGAATACTGGTACACTGGGCAGGGGAAGAGAGGAAAGGGAAAGGAAAAAGGGAGAGAAAAGGGAGAGGAAAGGGAAAGGAAAGCAAAGGGAAAGCAAGAACAAGGAAGGAGCAGAAAGTGGTTGTCTTGAAAAAAGCCAATAGCATGGTTTTTTGAATTACTTGCAACAGAAGTAGTATGTATTCTGTTCTGCTGTGTATCATTACATGGGGCTAAATTGAGGAACACAAAGTTCATTTTGCTACTCATTTGTGTTAGTGCAAACTGTTCCTTTTAATTCTGACACAAAATATTAATCACTATTTCTGCACAGGATTTTTAAGCCATCTTTACTGAGGCTTTGTACTGCTGTAGACTAATTTTATATAATGCAATGGAAAAGGCCAGTTAACTGGAATCTTTTTACTTGTAATGCATGTAAAAATGTAACTGCTATGGTTTTGGGGGAAAGTTGCAGTAAAACTTAGGAACCTGCTAGATACCTTGTGTAAGTAACATCAAATCAGCAGGGTTTTAATCCTGTAGTAGAGGCCTATCAATGCTATCATTTCCAGTAGTTCTACGAAGGCTGTCTCCGAAGTCTTCAGTAGCTTGTGTAGTTGCATAGGTTGACACTGCTCTTTCTTTCACCAAGTGTATGTAGACTGTTGATTATCTGTGCTTTTACTGAACAGGGAAGGAAGAACTGCAGATGGAGTGTGAATCTGTTCCCTTTGAAAACCTTGTTTTCACTGGAAGTGTGGTATTTCTTGAGTACTGGGCACCTCTAAACACAGGTGCTATGACTTGTGTAGAATTCCCTGCTGTAGTTTTTCACTTCTGCTTTCTTTGCTCTGTATCTTTACTGTGAAGGTGCTGAGGCAGTGGAGCAAGTTGCCCAAAGAAGTGGTAAATACTCCATGCCTGTCAGTGTTCAAGACTAGCTTGGAGAGAGCCTTGGGTGACATGGTCTAGTGGGAGGTGTCCCTGCCATTGGCAGGGGGGCTGGAACCCAATGATCTTAACGTCCTTTCCAACCCTAACTATTCTATGATTCTATCTACCTGGTAATATCTACTATGATCTAAAAGTGTCTTCTGGTGCATGAGCTTCAGTGTTAAGTGCTTGCATATTCTGCCCTCTGCCAACAATCAAGTAATATTCTGATTCTCCTCTCAGTTTCTTTTGGAGCCATGACTCATTAATCCCTGTTGATTCTTTAATTACCTGAAAAATTAACTCATGTTCTGAACAGCAGAAATTGTATTAGCATTTTAGCTGGTTATCCTATCATAATGTTTCCATCTTGGGGGCATATACACCTGATCTTTTTTGCCCAAGAATACCTGAAATTTGCTATTAAAGTAATCCTAGTTTGGCTAGTTTGTGAGTAAGTATTTTGCCTCTCCATCCTCAGTTTCCCTGAGGTTTAATTTCTTCTTAATTTCTTTAATTTCTTCTTCTCCTGCTGTGTCAGGCTTCTTTGCTTCATCTTTGCTTTCTTGGTGCTCTTTCTAACTCTTTCCATAAGAGAATGCCTATGCATTCTTCCCAGTGTATTTTTCAGTCCCGAAGTGCCAAATTGTGAAGACTATGCATTTAAAAAATCATCTGGTGAGTTAAGCTGGTCTTCCCAATGAAAAGAGGAAAAGTAAGTAAGGAAAAATGAGTGCTAGGCCAACTGTGTACACTGATATTACTTTGAGTCTACTCTTTAAGTGTTTATGTAATAGGGATTACTGTAATTTAGTTTAGACTAGAGGGAATATTTCTAAAAGCACAAAAGAAGTGTATTTGTTTTTCAGTCAGTAAGGCATGGAACTAACTGTCCTTGTCAGCTCTGCAAAACCTTCAGTTCCTTTAGGATGCGTGGTGGTGCAATGTGAAATAGGTGACGCCAAAAAAGGGGCACATACAGCAGTCCTTGAAATGTCCTATCTTACTTTAAATCTGTTTTAATGCTAGGAATAATTCTAAACTATTGGTACTGTTAAAGAGACAAAATAAACAAAGGGGAGAGAGATTGGGACTGTGAGTGATTTGTAATATGGGTCTTGCAACCTTATGCCAGTGATTCCAGAGCTTGCATTAGAGAGTTAGGGGGGTTGGAACTAGATGATCTTAAGGTCCTTTGCAACCATAACTATTCTATGATTCTGTGATTGCTAATCACTGTAATTTCTAGTATGTTCCGGGGCGGGGGGGGGAGACCACTGAAGAATCAGGTGATTTCAAATAAGTTTGATAAGCTGCTGCATTCAACTGGTATGTTAAATACATTGGGTAGAATAAGTCATAGCATTTAAATTAACACTTTTATATAATTTGTCTGAGGAACCTGAGCTTGATACATTTCTTCTCTTAATAAGATTATGATGCTTATTAATTTATTTTCATGTGATCGGTTTTCTAGGAAATTGTATGCTATGATCTTAAGCCTTTAACCTCTAATGCTTCAGGCTTTCTGCAGCATGATTAAACTAAAATTATATTTTGACAGGTCTGTGACTGGAGGGGCCAAAAGAGCAGCTCGCCTTTTAATTCTTTGGGAGTTGTAAACTTAATTGGCAGTGATGAATCTTAGGTGGCCTATAAATTTTTTTTTTCATTTCTCCCTTTTTGCAGTACATTTATGTTTCTGTTTTCATGGGTTTGCCTCTAAGAGTGTGATTCCTTCTTCCCCAAAGCAAATAGTCTAATTTCTTAGGTTACATGAATAATAAAGATTCTATGGGAGAAGCAAGATCCCTAGGGAGCTTTCAGTGACTCGCATCCGTTGCTGTTTCTTCCCTAACTACTAGCTATTGTACTTTTTTTTTTTCCTAGTAGACAATAGTAGAAGTATTGCTTTTGCACTGATTGTGTTTCTCTAATAATTACAGCTATTAGTACTTGTGGATATTGTTACATAAGTTATAATTATGTTACTTATACCCTTCATATAAGGTAGTTTAGGTTTTATTCTTCTTTCAACTTTTTGACTAGATTTCTACAAGGTATAACTTTGATCGCTGGTTTTCATCAGGCTTTGCTTTCCATAAAGCTATTCTGGGGAGGTGGGATATGTTCCAAAATACATAGGGGTGGTTTTTTTAAGGTCTAGAAGCACAAAAAACTTAGTGCTTTTTAAAGACGTTTAGGAACTGCTCAGAGAAAGTGTATTTAGAGTGTTTAACTGCTGACCTCTGTCTTGAAATCATTTTATCTGCTGTATTCATTATCATGAATGAATATCTAAATGTGACTTTTGGTTGCAAATTTGCAAGTTTAAAATAGTATTGAATTGCAGAAAGTCTTGAGCTTTTCTTGCAAAAAGCAATTTTAACTTACAGGAACTTACTAATCAGCTGATACCTTATTTAGGCCATAGAAAGATGTAATACAAAGGCAGTAAGAGGCTTTGGTAGACCAGCTGGAATGGAATGGAACAGAACAGAACAGAATTGTTTATTTTCATGTGACTGTTTTACAGGTTGAAAATTGGTGTCCTCGTTTACCTTGGAGAGCAAAAAATCCTAATGAAGAAACTGATCAAAAAACAGTGGTAAGGATAACATTAAAATGTGAAAAATAATTCAGTAATTGTGATTCATGCAAAAGATCCTGGAATCCTGTGCTGCATAAATGCTGATAATACTAAAATTTACGATTTTTATTCCTCAGCTCCTCAAAACTGAAGGGAACATCCTTGATTACATATATGTAACTCATTATGTGTCTTCTGCAGTCATTGTGTCACATTGCAGTCTTGGCGGTAGATTTCCATTAAAAGCAATTTAGTGTTTAAATTTGTGAAATAATGTATCTGAGATACTGAGAAAAATTCCAAAAATTAACAAATCCATTCGCCAGTGTTAAGTGATCATGTGTGAAACTGCCCAATTTTATGGTCCTATGAATATGTATAATATATAATACATATAAAAATGCCTTAAAGGAAGAGGTATATATACATTTCAGTTCTGTAGTAACATTTTCATTACTCCTTTTTCTTTTTTTTCCCATTAAAAACTCTGCAGCATGCAGGTTGTTTCTAAATGCTGTAGCGTAATTATATAGCACATAGATATTTTAAGATAATTGCTGGGCTGCATATGAATGTTGCTTACATAATTTAGATATAGGCTGTCTCATTTTGTAAAACCAATTGTTCTTAGATCAGTCTAGCTATAAAAGGAGTATTTCCTTTAAAATTTGTAATCTAGTAATGTTTCTTCCTTTATGGTATAGTAGGGCGCTTCCTCATAGATTTTAAATGATTCAAGGTATACAAAAATCTTCATCTTACTGAATCTTCAACATACTGTTCTGATTTTATGTTTTAGAGATCCTTTAACCTCATTTTGAAGGACATGAACAAAACCAAATGTTATATTGCAGAAATAAATACATTGTGAAACACTACAAACATAGCACATTTAAGGCCAGATGAAATGAGGTTTTAGGCAATGTGATTTAGCAGAAGGATGGTTGGAACCAGATGACCTTCAAGGTCCTTTCCAACCCAAACTATTCTATGATACTCTGGGGCTACCAAGTGCTCCTAATAAAAATAACAGCAATTTATGTGGTTTAGAAATATCTGTTTAAAGCTATCTTAAGTGTTCGAACTAAAATCTTGACCTTAGTGTTAGGAGTGTATCTTATTTTCCTTCTTTTCCATCTTCTTTTTGAATGAGAGATGAAGAGCGCACAGTTCACATTTGGCAAGTTTTTTCACTTCTGGAAAGTACACTGTTTGAAGACTAACATGTTTTGGGGTGTTCTTAATGTTTTAATTGAAGGCTGAAATTCGTATCAACTTTGATAATCTCTACAAAATGATGTCAAGACATGAGGAATTCAGGTGGATGATGTTACGCATCAGACGAATGGCTGATACCTGGATTGAAGCGATTAAATCACTTGCAGAAAAACAGAGTTTGGAAAAGAGAAAACGAAAAAAGGTAAATAAAAAGATTTTTCATTCCTGCCACTTGCAGTTTTATAGGGTCTTTTAAGCTTCTTATTCTGGAAGTAACTTCAGAGTGGAAATACCAAATACGTCCAAAAGGCTCATGGTTATATGTGTGCCTGTTTTCAAGAAGTATTTTGCTGTTTGAAGTTACTGTTACAATGGGTATCTGCTTTAACAAATAGTTTCACACACTTTCCATGAGTCACTCTTTGAGTAAGTTTTTAACCTCTTTGATTTTGGATGAAATAGAGACTATGTAGAAGATTGTAAAAGAAAAAAACTGAATTTTCATCAGGCTGTTGAAAATGGAGTGTTTTATGTAATAGTGCAAAACAATTGTGCATCTTCTCTGTCCAAAATCAAGACTTTAAATAGCGTAATTCTGTTTTGGATTTGAGAACACTTAAAGTTGACAGTAGCTTTAGATTGGATAAGTTTGATTACCTCAACTAGTTAAATAGAGCTCAAAGTTGTAAACACCACTGGGTTTCCCTTCCTTCTTTGTTCTTAATGGAGCCAGTCCTAAGTGACAGCAAGCCATGCACAGTCATGTTTCTACTCTCTCTTTAAGCCCAGGTGGCTGCAGCACAGCTCCTTGCTTGAGAGTCTCAGTCTTTGCATGACATCTGTGCGCCATGTTGCAGCTTTAATATGTGTCACCTACTACAGTCCTGGAATAGGCTCACCCTTTGTAAAGGAGCAGCCCATCTGTTTTAGCAGTCCTCCAGCCTGTTTTATTAAAGAAAACTGAACTCTGAGGATACTAAACTCAAGAATAAACAGAAACAGAAACAATATTGTCGTACGCATACAGTTTTGATGGGATGCTCTAGTTAATGTTTATTTTTTGCTTTTAAAAGTCCTCTGAGGTTGGGCTTAAAAAAAATAATGGTAATTTCATTTTAATATGTCCAGCTCAGTTCTGGAAGCTGCAAGAGATTAGAATAAAATGGTTTTTTGAATGGTGCTTCTTCATAAAGAGTGACAGGTCTTTATAAAATCTTTACAAAGGTTTATGGTGTTCATGAGGTTTTGGGCTTGCCACTGCATGTACCCACACTCAACAATCAGCTATTTAGCAAAGTGTTTGGAAATCAGTTTCTGTGCTTCGCTGGAAACGCAGGCAGGAATTTCAGAGAAATACAGAGAAAACTCCTCTGGTGGCAATGGAGAGGAGAGGTTTGGAAAGCATCCTGCTACTGCTATAGTCTTTTCAAGTTCTTGTTGGCTTGTCCCATCCTTAACTATACTGTCTCGCCTAAACAAGTGTATCCTACTTGAGAATCTAAGTGGTTATTAAATCAAAGTAATTTGCCAACTGTATCCTGGGATACATCAAAAGAAGCATGACCAGCAGGTCGAAAGAGGTGGTTCCGCCCCTCTGCTTCTGTGGGACCCCATTTGGAGTACTACTTGCAGTTCTGGTATCCCCAACATAAGAAGGACATGGAGCATGTTGGAACAAATCCAGAAGAGGGCCATGAGGATGATAAGGGGGCTAGAGCGCCTCCCGTACAAAGGCAGGCTAAGAAAATCAGAACTGTTCAGCCTGGAGGAGAGATGGTGCATGGAGACCCTATAGCAGCCTTCCAGTATCTGAAGGCGGCCTACAATGTTGACTGAGGCACTCTTCATCAGGGACTGTGGTGGATTTGTAGGGACAAGGGGTGATGGGTTCAATCTTAAACAGCAGAGATTTAGGTTGGATGTAAAGAGAAATTCTTTAATTTGAGAGTGGTGAGGCACTGGAATGGGTTGCCCAAGGAAGTTGTGAATGCTCCATCCCTGGCCTGTGTTCAAGGCCAGGCTGGACAGGACCCTGACCAATCTGGTCCCAGTATGAGGTGGCCTTACCCATGGCAGGGGGGTTAGATGATCTTAAGGTCTTTTCCAACCCAAACCATTCTATGATTCTATAATGTGATCCACAACTTTCTGTGCAGAATTACAGATTATTTTGTGAATAACACCGTTCTGGTGGATGTTTTTAATTACGGATCTGGTGGCAGATCAGCAAAGCAATGCAGTAACGTTCTTATAATTATTGTTTTGGAGATCCGTTACAGAATTAAGTAAGTCATTAGGGTGGGAGTATTAGTTTTTTTTGAGTTGATATTTTGGACACAGCTGGAATTTAATAGGCAGAAAACATGCCATGAGGTATAATGGTTGCATATTCAATGTTGATAACTCTTAACGTATGACTTTCCTTTCCAGATTCTTGTTCATCTGGGGCTCTTGACAAAAGAATCTGGATTCAAGATTGCAGAAAATGCGTTTAGCGGTGGCCCACTTGGTGAATTAGTCCAGTGGAGTGATTTAATTACATCTCTCTACTTACTGGGCCATGATATCAGGATTTCAGCTTCACTGGCAGAGCTCAAGGAGTAAGGAGATTACTTTCACTTCTGAAACTGGAATACAAAAAAGGAATTGTAAACTCTTAAAGCTTCTATTAACAGTATATAATTTCTTGAAGCATAAAATGAAAGTGGTAATTCACTAAACATATGATAGATTATTTTCATGAGCTGAATATATGTACTATGAAAAGGATAACGTGTTTCTTTGTGGCTTCAGGCTCCTGAGACTTCATAAATGAACGTTGTAAAATTCAAACTAAGCAGCTTATCTTTAACACTGCAGGTGCTTTAACCAGCTGCTATAGGAAAAGTTACAGACTAGCCTAATTCTGTGTACTTTTCTTCAGTTTCTGCTATTCTTCATGCAGTATCTCATTTTAAAATAAAAGTGTAGATCTTTTAAACACATTACTTTTGGTGTATTTAATTGCTAATGTTAGATCAAATCGCTACCTTGCTCATCTTTGTCTTGCTCTGCATACTAGTTCAGCATTAGGCATTAAACATCTGTTTTAAGCTTGAGCACGTACACTTTTTCTGTAGCTCTTCAGTTTTTTTATGACAAACATAGCATCATTTTATAGAGAGCACTTGCACTATGAAGCTGTCAATAGAAATCTGAAATTATTTAAAATAATTTCAAAGCACACTATTTAAACATTACAGCCACATTACTCTTGTTTAAACTAGATGGGGTTTTTAGTGCAAATTAGCACTTTACTGATGTATAAATGTTTCTTAATAAATGATGAACATCTTTAGAATTTGAATGTTCTTACATGTTTTATGGTTTGTAAAAAATAAGAGTAAAGCTTTTTTGAAAAGGGAAATTATTGGTATAAACAGTATTACAGCATCTATTCAACATATTTGGAAAGTACTATTTTTCCATATTCCTTCTTTCTTTGTTTAGGATTATGAAGAAGGTTGTAGGTAACAGATCTGGCTGTCCTACCCAGGGGGATAAAGTTGTAGAACTCATTTACATTGATATAGTAGGACTCACACAGTTTAAGAAAACGCTTGGTCCATCGTGGGTACATTACCAGTAAGTATAACACTTATTTGACCTCTTAAATGCTTTGTTAAAGAGTTTTTTTTGAGTAACACATGTCAAAATATTGAGGTGAGTACATTCACGTAAGTTTGAATTTATTTAAAAGTGAAAATGTGGTTCTCTGTTGACTTTCATTCTTAGGAATAAAGGGGCTAGGATTTGTTTGTTGCATACCATCTTTATGCCCCCCAGCAAGTTTGGGGTTCTTGGATTCAAGCATTTTTAATCTGAATGAATTGTATTATCTTTTTGAAGCATTACCTTTGCATTTCTTTCTCTCCATTCTTTACACCCCACCCCCTTTGTTCTGTAAATTAGTAGATGAGCTGAGAGATTATTGGATCTTGTTGTTCAGTTGGAATACCAAAGGCATGTTTTGCTTGTCCAGCTGTGTTCGATTGATGATTGTGGACATCTATCTATGCTAATTGTATTGGGCAACAACTGCAATGCAATTTTTTCTGTTCCATCCCTTGAGATGCTGGGCAGAGAGTCGTCTTCAGGGATAGGTCCGAACAATAAACTGCATTTGTGGTTCTGTAATCTGTAACATTTTTCCATTAGAAATGGAAGATGGTGGTCACAAGAAATTACTTTGTACAGCCTTCTTAGCATCTGAAGTTTTAGAACCACATTTCCTTTTGTCAGTAACTTTAAATCAGCAAGCTCCCATGTGCTGTACCAATATATATCAGCATAAAATAAACCCAGATCTAAATTACTGACTTTGATTTTTCTGTACGCAATTGAATTAGCTGTGTTTCATGATCCATAAAGTCCAGTAAATCCTACTTGAAGGAAGGCATTGAAAGGTGTTCATTGCAGGCAGAAAAATCGTTTTCTTTCAACTTCAGGATTTTCTAGAGCTTTGGTTCTTTTCAGCACATTTTTAAGTGAGAGTCTTGTGATCAGTGTTACTGATTAGATTACTCTTAATCTCTGTGTTGTTTTTTGTTGGGTTTTTTTAAGCAAAAGAGTAAAGGGTTATTCTGTTTTATAGGATCCTGCTAGTAAAGATAATCCCATTTTCCACTGAGCTACAGTTGGTTGTCTGCAAGATGTAATTGTCACTAGGTGATCATATACAGTATTATGGTCAGAGTATAAACCCATACTTACAAATTTGAAATGTTTCTCTCCTTTTGTTTTGAATTTCCTATTTGGTATGTTCTGTAACGAAGATATGGAAATACACCATGATACTGAGAATATTAGATTAGCTTTTCAATTTTTCTTGCTTATTTCATGAATCATTAAATCTCAAGTTGTCAGTCTGGTTTTCGTCGATTCCTAATTTGCGGTAATGACTGACACTTTCTCGTTTAGGAGAGTAGAATTAGATTTAACACTAAATAAATGCCTTCGGTAATAGAGGAGTTTTTGTTAGGCTTTCGAAGAAGAAAATAAATTCTTAATGCCTCTCTTCTGCAATTTTGGATTTCTTGGAATGGAGGAAGACCTTGTCTAGTCCATAGTCTTGCAGAAAAGTAGATTGGATGTGTTTCTCCTCGAGAGACTTGATTGCAAAAGGTGTCCCAGACACTGTTTTATATTGTTAAGCTTTTGTTTAAAGTGTTTTTTCTTGGTCTGGTTTCTTGTAAAGTGCCCATAACTGCTTATTCTGATATGGTTCTGGGGAATAAATTGCTTCTGTTCCCTCTTTCCCAGCCTCTAGGCTATCCTTTGCCCTGTTGTTCCTTCAGTTTGCTTTTCTTGAAAATAAATTTAGGGAGTTTGATCATTAATTACAATTCAGGTTTTTCAGACCTTTCATCAAACTTGTTGCGTCTCTTAATTCTCATTAGAGAAATCTCTCTAATTACTTGATACTTTTTCTCAAGTTCAGAGCACAAAACAGTGTCCAGGGTTTAGCAGGGACTACAGGATTGATTAGAGCAGAAGAATTAATTCATAGCTTCATGCACGCTGTCTACTGTTTGAGGATCCCTTGCAATTATGTTTCTCTTTCTCAGCATCATGAGTTACCTCATAAATTTTGTCATCAAAATAATAAGTTAAAACTAGTAAGTACAGTATAAAAGCATAATTATATGGTTTTGTTTAATTCATTCCAGTAAAATAAACATGATCACAAATAAAGCTGGCTTATAGTCTTACAAACTTTGATTTCTCACTCTGTTGTGTTTAATGTCAGTAGAAATAATTCTTTGCCTTGAAAGAAGTGTTTTGCTTTATGCCATATGGTTTTTCAGGAGAAATGTGTGCGTCAGCTCAGTTTGATTTATGCAGACCAGTCAAATACAGATAAATTAAAACTTGTTTATTCACTCTCAGATTGGAATAGAGTGGTAGAATAAACCCCTGCCTGCAGAACAGTGTCTTGATAAGAGTGCTATATGCAATTTTTGTGAGTGAACTAGAGCCCTGGGGATTTTCTTGGTAATTGCAAATCAGGTTTCTAGAATCGCCAGCTCTAAAGAATGACCCTGCCGTTCTGAGGGATGAGAATTTCTGAACAGCTGAAATGCTGTTTTGTATGTCTGAGATCAGTAGCACTAGTGATTCTCTCTAGTACATGCTTTATCTGAGTTATAATTAGTGCCATAAGTAGTATGAATCTAGCAAACCAGATCTCATTTTTGAGGTCACTGTTTTCAAGCAGACGAATGCCTGGACATGCTGTGTTTTTCACTTCTGAAGTCTGGATATTCGAGAGCAATTTCTGGGCAATGAAGCAACAAAAAAAATAGTTGCTTAATATAGTTTGAGGAGTGCAGCACATTGCCTTTCTTAGCACCCTCATCCTCCATGCAGCACATAAAAGTCAGATTTTTTTCTATTTTTCCTGTTTTTCTACAGTCTCTCTAGCAATGACTCATTCCTAAAAGCTAAAAATCCAACTAGCTTTATTCTTGAAATAAATTAACATGACAGCTGTCCTAAAAAAAGAGCAACATTCCTGCTTTTTGCATGTTCTTTAGAATACATTTGTTTTAGGAGGCTTATTTTCTGACTCGGTTTTTACATTTTAAATGCAAGTACTGAGTGGCCTGAAAATGAATGTATGTGTGTGGAAGGATTTATATAGGCAGATATGAGCTGCTCATGATCTGAGCTGGCTGGACAAACAGTCTGGAGTCCATGTATTTGTGCTGGCACATTGCTGTGCCTGAGCTTAGTGCACCTGTCGAGCTTCCAAACCAGAACTGGGTGGATTTTGATCAACTTGCTCCCAGGAAGATGTCTACATCCGCTGCCGTGTATGTACCCCTTGTTTTAACTTTTTGTGCAGGCATAAGCACTAGTTGCTGACAGCATTGTGTGCTGCTGGACACCATTGCTTGTGTAAACAAAGATGAAGTATACCTAATTAGAGAAAAATTATAACTTCAGGTGGGAGGATATGTCCTTCCACGAGGACAGCCCCATTAAAATTGTGCTTACGCCCAATATTTCTGAAAAACACTCACTTCAAAAATTGTGATAATTCTGAGTTACTTTTGTCTAGTTACGTTTTTTATTTTTTTTTATATTAGGCCCCAAAATGATCACTTCTAATTTGCTAGAACAAGAAAGATGACTTTGATATGGATGTTTCTGTAAGGAGTTTGATACCCACAAATCCTCTGTTTAATTAGTCAGTGAATAGACTAATCAGTCTGACACCAATTCCGTGCTATAATTCTCTGCAACCTCACTGCTAAAGCCAGTTGACGTCTTGGGAAGGAAAGAGGAAAGTGGGTGAAAACTGACATTAAAATCACGCTAAATTAACATTTTTATTCAAAATATGTGCATGATTTACAAAATGAAATATTTCACTTTAAAAGTGCTAAAACATTGTATGCAAAATTATTTTTTTTTATTTAAAATCATTCAGTTGAAAGAGGTTTAAACCACTAAGCGACACAAATGGAGAATACAGTACTTGGGGAGACAATTGAGGTGTGCCTACATATGTTAAAATACCAGTTCAGCATAACTGGCATTAATAGTCTTCATTTCTAAATTGAAAATCTTTACTAGTTCTTTTCTGCTGCATTTCAGGGATTAGATTCACTACTTGAACCTTTGATATTTCATACCATTTCTGCACATACTTGCACTTTCTGCTGTGACCTTTTTCTCTTTTTCAACTTACTTTATGCCTGAATCATGTAAATATTTTTTTGTTTTCCGTGTTTTCTGGTTTAGTGTAGTTTCTATTGCATCACATTTCCTGCCCAGTTTCAGAAATCCTGTGTGTGTTGGACATAGTTACACATACCCTTGTGAACAATTAGTGCTACACAGCTTACATCTGAATACAGGATAAAGAGAGGAAACAAAGCACTCTGAGATGATCACATGTGATGTAGGGCTTCTTACATACATAATTTGACAAACTCCAATAATGTTGCAGTTTTTCAGTAGCTTTCACCTATTTTTCATTCTCCTTTACTCAAGTACCTGGCTAAAAGCTCTGTGTTTGATAAAAATTTTGTTTTAAGGCCTGCCAAGAAATAAGAGAGTTTTTATTACTGAATGAATCATCAGTGCAGACGTTGTTTTGGTCCTGCTGAAGTCTTTTGTACAATGCAGAGATAATTGCCACTGTTGTAAAATATTTTCATTGAGATCAGTTGATGTGAAACACTGCACAGAAACTGATCTGTCAGCTTTGTTGTTTGGTGAATCATAATGTATTGTATATTTTTACTTTCTTTCCAATTGAAAGATCTCTGTGAAGATTAAAAAAAAAAAAGAAGTAAATTTTCTCTATTTGTACTTTCAAAGACAGAGGTGTCATTTTCATATGGGAGTTTAAAGGTTGCTGTTTGGTGGTTTGCTTTTTTTCCTTTTTTAATAGACACTTTGGAGAAAAGAGACCATATGAGAAATATGTACATGTATTTTAGGGACTAAATTCTTTCATCTTTTAAAGCTGAAAAATGGCTGGAGCTAAGCCTTTCACCTTTTGGGGGCTAAATTCTTTCTCATTTTAAAGCCAAAATCCTGGAGTTTTACTGAATATATATAGGTTTGGAGCATGGGAAGTGTTGGGAGACTGGGAAGCATAGCCATTTTTAATAGTAACTTTTGTAGCTTCCTTCATTCTCTGCCACCGTGAGGTTGTGTCTCTTCTTTGGCACATACAAGCCCAGTGATAAAATGTTCAGTGATAAGAGTTCGTATCTTTATAACATAGTGGCACATAGTGTAAGAACAAATCCCATGCAGTTCTTTTTTCCGAAAATTGTTAAGGAGGGCTGAAGCATGGTAGGGTCAGCAGCTTTGGAGCCATATAATCCAGTTAATTTGCAGTATAGCCAGTGGTCAGTATGACAGCCATAAGGTTTGACATAAAGGTTTGGCAGGCTGCATTTTAGAAACACAATTTCTAGAATCTGTATGCTAGAATATGTGCTGCCCTTTTCATACTGAGACTTTGTCTGCCTTTCATGTAGTATGGGCCCTTGTTTTGAAAGGAGCTGCTCATAAGTGATTTTTTTTTTTTGGTCAAGGAATTCGTAGGAGTGAAATGAAGGACGGAGTGTGATTTTCTTTTCACTGCAGACCCTTTGTAGTCCAGCGCCAAGGTTTCTCTCAGTTGTGTACTGTTTCTTGCAGACATTTTTCAATATTGTTTCTTCAGAAGTCTGTGACAAAGTGTTTCATGAACAAAAGCTCTGACTGTTATTATTCAGCAAATTAAACTGTCTTCAGTGCTTCTTTAGTGGGTCTAATTGACCCAAAAGTCAGTCAGAACCTGGAGACTGAATACAGTTGTCTAAACACAAAGTAATGTTTTACTCTGATCTTCTTGGCATGCAGCCCTTAGCTGTTGCATTTGATTTTGTGGTAATGGGTGAGAATATTAGAAAATAGATGAAGAATCCTCTCTTCTTCTGCCTAAATTCTGCTTTAGAGCCCCAGGAATGGAGGTGACCACAGTAGCATTCCCATAAGCTCCCATAAATTCTACTTGGATGTTAAAGCATAACTTTGTTCTGTAAGAACAAAGAAACCCAAAACAAGCTTCATGGTTGTTATTTGAATGTCTGATATATCCTTGAATTTGCTGATCATGTCTTTGTGAATGTAATATGAACAAAAATGTTTGATATTAAAATGTACTTTTAGTTTATAAATCATCCACAGTTGCAAACGCAAACAAAACACATTTTAATTATCATAACTGTGTACACACACATACTCTTATATATACATATACATGTGTACCTACAGTAAATTATTTCTCTCTTTTAGGTGTATGCTGAGAGTTTTGGATTCCTTTGGAACTGAACCAGAGTTTAACCATGCCCATTATGCCCAGTCTAAAGGCCACAAGACACCATGGGGAAAGTGGAACCTTAATCCACAGCAGTTTTATACAATGTTCCGTAAGTATCCCTGTGTTTATAAATAATTTGGAGCTTTTAAAGGGAATACTGTCATTGAGAAGAGCTTTTGTATTACGAAAGTTCATGATTTAATAAAACGCAGCTTACTGAATCGACAGAATTGTGTCAGTAAGTGTCTGTAGACTATGCAGAAGCTCTGTTGTGCTTTCATGCAGCAGTTGGAAAAAAACAGTATCAATTTAATATAAATAATGGTAGGGAACTTTATTTTCAGAGTACCTGTGGGAAGTGGTGATTGTCTTTATATTGAAGTGTCAGTGAGTTAACTTTTGTTAATTTTGCCTTCTCAAAGCCTGTCTATGGAGCAATAGGGTTTTGACAAACTTGCTACATTGCATTTTTATAAACTAAAAAAATTATACATTTATAAGCTAAAAATCTCACATTTCATCATGTTAAACTGAAGTTTGTAGCTGGATTTTGTAACTATGTTAACTATGTTTCTTTCTGCTTTTTTCTTCTGAACAACTGAGCAGCACGATTCCTTTGCTGTTTCCTTTTGCTCAAGATTAATAAACTAATACTCAGCAAAAACATTTTTGTCTCTACTTTTTCATGGATTTATCAAAAATTTTCACATAGCTTTTTTTTATCCTGGGCATTCAGCCTGAGGGGAACTGATTCACCTTTATTAGCTAGCAGTGTACAAAGCTATTGAAAAACAAGTAGTAGATTTCTGCACTGCTTTAGCTCTTTGAAGCATTGTTAAATATCTTAAAAGAACACAAAAAATTATATAAATCCTGTATATATTGGGTCAGATTAAATTATTACTGTTAAACCATACTGGCCTGCTCTAGTCCGAATCCTTAACTTCTTTGGCTTCATGGCACTAGGTTCTAGAATCAAAGGATCTTTCTCTTGCATGTTGTAGTAGTGGTTCAAGTATGTAATCTCTGAAATATGCAGAAAGATTCACTACTACTAGATAGCATGATGTTAAGTGAAGCTTAGGAAAGAGGAAAGGTTATGCTTTTGTGTGCAGGAACTTCTCAGCCCAAGTCTGCAAGGAAACACTTGGCAGTGAGCAGCTTGACTGCTAAAGTGTGGTGGTGGTGCCTTGTCTGAGACTAAGGCCAGAGCATGCACTGTTCTCTCTCATCAGACTTCATAGTCAAGTCTTTCAAACTTTTCTGCTTTTCATAGCAGAAATATACATGCTGCTGTCTGGTTGACATGCTTTTGATTTCAGTTGCCCTGTAAAATTCTTGAGAGAGACATATTTTGTCTGTCAACATTTGCTGTGCAAGTTTTTCCAGAGAAATATAAGTGAAGGTTGTTCAAAAGATAAAAGACTGCATTCACAGTTGTTTGGAAACAAGTAACAAAATGTGTGTTGGGGAAATGTGACTTAGAAGTGGTTGCAGAGTCAGTGTCTGGACGTAGTAAGCGGAACTTGTGCCTTATCCATGTGGTTTGCTGTATTTATTGGTTTATGTTGTAAATGGAAAAGGATCTGAAAGCTCAATATTTAAATGATCCAGCTGCTGGGAAATTTGTGTGTGAGGTCCTGGTCAAGATAGCAGCAAGGGTGATGAGGCATTTGAGGAAAATAGTTAAATGAATACTTGTGGTACAGCTGTGTGTGTGCACTCCTCAATTCCACTTCTTGAAATGCAGAAGAAACTAAATCTTCTCTATAGAGATCTCTGTCATGAGAGCATAGACTACTGTTACAGTCTCTTGTTCAGAGCAAATCACATTATATAATGGATTTTCAGAAGTGTACAACTGTATCAGAATTTCAATAAATAATCATTTCCAATTTTTATGACTGGAAATGACTGCAGCTTTTCCTTTACTGAAGTGGTAAATGGACTGCGGGCAAACTCATTCTGAAGCCATGAGTGATTCCAGCGCTGTAGATTATTGAAGGGTTTTGCTGCTTTTTGTACTGCTGTAGAAGGTTCAGCATGTTTTCTGATATTGAAAGTTTATTTTTGTTTTGTTTTGTTTTTTCTCTGCTGCAGAGGTAGCACCATTTTTATGGGGTTGTGATTAAAAGTGCATGTTATGCATCAATAAAGGTTTTATGACAGATTTGAACCCTGGACAGCTTCCCAAAATCCCCAGACTCTTACTATGTTTTGAAAACTGATTATAAGGGCAGAAAATTATTACTGAGCAACAAGAAAGCCATACGCAAACCTGTGGCATATTACCAAATTCTGGACTATTCCCTGAGCTTTACAGAAGCATGAGGGTTTGGGGGTTTTTTACCCCTTTTTATGTTTTCATTTAAAATTCTTTTATGCAAAATAAGAGTAGTGGTACTTTTAAAACTGCATGATGTTGCTTAAAAATTTGAGTGCTTCCTGTCAATGATGTCTGAGGCACTGGATTCCACCAGTTCTAAGTGCTAACTTTAACAAAAGTTTATTTTTCTTCTGAGTGAACTGCCTTGCCTGTCCTTTGAATGCAGTCTCTTATCCAAAATATGAAAGGATAGAAAAATGCCCCTTGTCAGGCATATTTGCAGTGTGCTATTTGCTATGCTAAATCCTAAAAGTCCTTGGGTCTGAGTGCTTAGCTGTTGCTGAGGCATTTTCTTATGAAAAAGAGTAATTGTCATTTGTAAGACTAAATGCAGTGGCAGAAGGAAGCATACACTGTGTATGGTTTCTCTGTTCTACTGCATTATCAAGCTGGCTGATTTCAGGAATCAAAAAGCAAAGCCCTAAAATTGCAATAGAATTTATTTTATATATAACCTTGGCTATAGGTTTAGCACTGCGTGTATCGTAAGTGCCTGGGGCCCTGTCTTTGGGTTGGGGTTTATTTCTTTTATGGGGTTTGGGTTGTTTATTTTTTTCTTTTTTGCTTGTTTGGGGTTGTTTGGGGTTTTTTTGTTCTTTTTTAATAACTTTGTAAAATGTGCTTAGTAAGAAGTTGTCAGCTTGTGTGCCAGAATTTAAAAGAGAGGCTTACACAAAAGGAAACAAAAAACCCCTTAGTTTTTAATGGGCCTATAGATCTGTGTTTTTATAAGAGGAGAACAGTGGCTAGTATTGCTGGATGTCACTGCTGGAAAAAGACTAACAGAGGCTATAAATAATATAGAAAACTTAAGAGTAAGTTGTCTGTCCTTTGCATGAACTCTTTGGGCGCTGGATTAACAACTGCTTTGCCAAGATAGATCTGAGTCAATTAGGAAGTGAAATTTGTGTTATTATCAGCATAGTGTGATTTGTAGGCTAGTAATGAGCATGGATAGGTAATATGCAGTGAGTGGAATGGTCACTGTTAGCTCTTCCAATATGGGAGGTGAACCCAAGTAATTTACTAGAATTATTTATGACAGCGAGCAACATACAGCTTTGTTAACAAGCATAAACCCAGGGTTTTTTCCAAGTTGTTGGTATTGCATCTCTGAGATTATTAGACTGAACTTCTTCTGGTTCTCTTATCTCTAATAATAAAATAAAGCTCAGCACACAAAAAAAATCGTTATCATTGGCCTCAGTCCAGATACAGAATTTTTGTTGTCGGAAATGAGCCAGAAAGTAACTGCTTATTTCAGTAGACATACGTACCAGGATTTAATAAGGAACTTATTGATAATAAAGCAAGCAAACGCATCTCTCTCTATGAATGCAAAGTGATCTGTTAAATAATAAATTCCTTATACCTACATTTCTAACAATATTCACAGTTTTGTAACATTAACTGATACTTTAAAAGGTTTTGAATATGCTCTGTGTCTTACAGCTCACACTCCAGATAACAGCTTCCTTGGATTTGTGGTAGAGCAGCATCTGAATTCCAGTGACATTAAACACATTAATGACATCAAAAGGCAGAATCAATCTCTTGTTTATGGCAAAGTAGATAATTTCTGGAAGGTGAGTTTTCTATGCTCATATACTTTAGCAAATTTATTTTGATAAAAATCATAAAGCAACTTAATAACTCTACAACTAAATGTGCTGCATTTTGAACTGAAAATTGTGTTTCACTAAAGACCCTAGAAGTGTCCAATCTTGTTTTATCTCCCCATAATAATATCAGAGTTTTATTTCTTAAATATTGTAATTTTTATATTGTCTCCCACCTGCAGAAGAGAGCTGCAGAATAACAACTATGAGGTTTGGTCATATTTTCACCAAGTTAAATTATATTGTGTTATTAAGCTCACAGTGGCCTCTGTTTCTTGTCCACTGTCCTTTTATGGATCTTCTTCCAGGCTGCCGCACCTTGGAGTGTGTGTCTCATGTGGTTTCCAAAGAAAAGAGATTATGTACTAATAATGGGATTTCTTCCAAGTAACTGCTAGCTCTATGTGCCCACATGCATTGTATGCCTTCCCTTCTGCCTAAAACCCTATTCTAAGCCCCTTGTCAACTGAAAAATGAGCTGATCAGTACATGCTGTGCCATACATAGGACCAAGCAATATGACAGTGTGAGAGCATCCATGTCTCACATTTTCTTCAATTTTCTCTTCATTGCCATGAGACTATCAATCTTGCAGTTTTCTGAACCACAGAAGCAACATTTAGTCTGATGACTGTGATTATACAGAATAAATTCTTGAAAACTCTTAGCTACAAGTAAATGGTCCATCTGTGAGACAGAACAAAATAAAAACTGAAAAGAAATGGGAGAGTGTTGCCATTGGTAGCAAAAATATAGAGCTGAATGCTTTTTTGGCCACTGTGCTGAGAAAAATAGGTATATTAGCTCTCAGGTTTCTGTTTGGGTTTACTGCTCTAAGCCATGTAATCTGTGTCTTTGAAAGGATATTTTGCTTTGCATCATAGTAAATATGTGACAGTTACTCTATTTGGCTTATGGTATAGCATGCCCCCATCTGCATTATTCTGTCTGCAAAGTGGTGGAGCAGAGCTGGGGTCCTTTCATTCAAGTGTTTCCTAGCAGAGACTGTTATACTTGAAGTTGCTGATCTCATTATCAGTCTCTTAGGAACAGTTGCATGTAATAATTATCTGTACTTCCTGACCTGATTTGCAGTGCATATCAGCAGAACAACCTGTTGAATACTAGTTGGGTTTAAGGAACAAGATAGTTGCTTAGTCACCAGGGGTTTTTTTACTGATGTGTGTGTCTTTCTCAGTTTATTCTTTCTGCATGAATTCAGAACTGTATGCCCAAAGGGGAGATTTTTGATTGCCTAGTCTGAGATTCTGTATGACACACAGGATATTCATGGGCTGATTAAGACAAAAATACGGCTTTTTTGAAAAGAATATCCAGTCTTGATTTTTAAATAGCACACAATGGAAACCCCACTATTTCCTCTGGTAACAACCTCAAATAATTGCCTTCTCCCTTAAGACTTTGTTTTATGTCTAGTACAGATTTCCAAATGGTAATTTCCAGTCACTGGACAAAATCCAGTAGATTTTATCTGCTGAACTTATGATATATCTGTTCTGTTTCCCTACAGAAATATATAGGTTAAGTTCAAAGTAACCCACAGTCATCTCCTGAAAAGCCTATATATACTGAACCACTGAGAACTTCGTGCTTTCTCATCTTTAAGTGTTCTCATGTGTCTGAACCTTTAAAAGATTACTCAAATTCCGCTGGAAATGTGAATGTTAGCAAAGGGAATGTGGGCCATATCAGAATCAAAATCAAACAGGAAATATTATGTATGTATTGTTAGGCATATCCCCTTTTCACCATTAGGAACTTGTGTATCGACACCTTCTCAACTTTTTAAAGAACTAGTGCTTATCAAGTCACTGCTCTGTTTCTGTCAGTATTGCCTGTCTTGTTTCTTCCAAGATGTTTGACCTCCCTGCATTAAAATGCTCACTGTATGCTTGTAACATCAAGCATGTTAAAACTGTAACTTGCAGATTGTAACTGCAGTTATACCCATATGCACCGGTACATAAAATGCAATCACCATAGATAGGCTTTGAATCAGTGACAGAGTGGGATGTCCTGGAGTGATAAAATCCAATTCTTGTGATCAACAGAAAGCCTGAACTAATCTTGCGTTTGTGTAATTTGCGTATTTCGTGTCTCCTTCATTTTTCCTGTACAAAGCTCTTTTCATCTGCCACCAAGGCTTGTATGGCACTAGACTAATCTATTTATCTTGCTCCTTTTACTTATATTGAACACGGCTAATTAATGAAAATAATCTCCTCAGAATACACATGTCACTGCTGGAGCTGATCAGTCATTAGTGAAGCACAGTGAGGGGGGGAGTGTGTTCCAGTCCCCAGGCTAAAATGCTTTTGGGGAATAGCAGTTGCAAATATATTGTTTAATTTTAAATTGAGGAGGTTAAAATAGAACTAAGGAATTCCATGGAGCCTCTTTTTCCCCTGGAGGTGGGACTAGAATAGCTAACTGCCATCTAAATTACTTGCCATTTCATCTTTGCCAGAAATCCCCATGTTTGCAGCTCTGCTGCCTGGCTAGGCAGAGTTGGTAATGCTAGCTCACCCCACCAGCCTAATCTGCATACACTAACCAGGTTATTGTAGCTAGAGAATTATGGATTGCTTAGAGACAGTGCTCTGTCTTCCTCCATCCTTCAGTGAGGCTAAACTCTGGTATGAACATGATGAGTTACAGGAGGAGGAATACAGTGATGACTTCTGTTGGCATTTCTGAACACAGGAAAAATGTCAGCCTGTGGCCTGAGACCCCATTCACCCCGTGTTACAGTGGGCAAGTCTGGGTACATCTTGCAGGAGGTCAGGAAGCATGTAAGCTACTGAGACTGTAAGATACATCTTGTTTACTTCCTTCTGATAACTAAATCAGTCTTAAGTGGGTTAAGGATTACAATTAGGAGGCTCTAAAGAATTTATGAATATTTCTAAAGGTAATGCTTAAAGGTAACCTACCAAGGGTAACATTTGCCAAGTTTTGGATGTGTTTGTTGCAATCAAAGGTTTGGGGGTTTGTCTGGGATTTCTGGCAATACTAAGGCATAGAGTCTTATCTCTGCCTAAGTGAAAAATAAGGAATGAATAAAATGTGAGTGAAACCCACAGTGCTTTCCATTATCAAAATTGGCTTTAATTACAGGACAGTTCAATTAAAAGTGAATGTTCGAAGCCTTTCATGTCATCTTAGCTCCTGCTGCAGTCTAAGTTTTTTCTTTGTTCTTCTCCCTGCAACTTCTTGTCGTACCATTTCAGTACTTCTACCCTTAAGCCTTGAAATAAAAAAGAGTCAAGATTCATTTTATATTCTTTGCCTTTTTTTTTTTTTGTGGGGTGCTGTGGCTTAAGTCAGAATTTTGCTTGTTTCAGAAAATAGCCATCAGTGCATAGCATACAGTTGTATGATCACTGCTTTGAGTTGTCTTTAAAATATTTATATATTTAAAGGCAAAATAATGTGTGAGTTTGTTGCTAATACCCTTGACAAAATGGGCATTCTTCTTAAACGTACACTGTCTGTAAAACAAGCTATGAAGAAATTTAGCTTGTTGTCAATGGGAAAGTACATAACCAAGGCTATTCTTAATATCTCCCCTTTATAGTTCCATGTGACATATGTAATTTCCCTATCGTATGCCCTCTTGCATGAAGTAGGAGGAAAAAATTAAGAGAAGTCAGACAGGAGAAATTACACGCCTAGGAATAGTTCTTTTACATGCAAAGATCAGTGTCTTGTTGCTGGTAGTGTTGCCTTTTTGCCTTCCTTCTGAGTGCTTTTTGTGCTTCATATTTAGCAGCATACTTTGGCTAAACATTTAATTTTTTTAGCTCAAAGATGCATAAGGAAAGGGAGGAAAGATCCTTCTCACCTTTTCAAAGTGCTCAGTGGTAGTTTTGAACTTGCCTTGTAGTAGTTTTGTCTTACTCCAAATTTGCAGCAGCCCCATGATCTTTCCTATTGATCATAACCTATCCTAGTTGCTGTCACCAAGCTTCAGGAGCACTGCCTTGCTTTATGTCACATAAGAAATTGAAATCAGCCAGACACTTTAGTTCAGCAGCATCTCTGAAATGCAATATTTGCTTCTGAAAGAAGTATGGATCAAAAAACCAGTAAATCAAAGCAAATGAGAAGGTATAGGTGCAGTAAATATGTATACGTGTATGTACATTTTGTAGGCTTATTCTTCAACATTTATTATGAAAATTAGTATTTAATTTATTATGAAGAAAGGAAAGGAGAGGAGGGTGTCTCATTGTTAGTTCTGGAAATTTCTATTCAAAGGACAAGAAATTCCTTGTTAGACATTAATGTCCATTACATGGCAATGAAGTTGTCAAATCTTTAAAAAAACCTCAGTGTAAAAAGCAGGCAAACAAACAAACAGATTAAGAACTGCAAGAAATTATGAATGAAAAAGATAAAGATGACAAGCAGAATTTCTGGCAGATCTTGAAGACTCAGTTATTTACTGAGATGTTTTATTCATTCTTTGTGCGAGGATTATATATGTAATAAATAACATATAGATATGTGGTCATGTGTATTTTATGATATATGTGGTAGTTGCTTAACAGAGAAGCCATAAATGCTTAACAGAGAATCCATAAATGGACGTTCAGGGAAGAGCAAAAGTATGGCAAAGTTACTCAGTACTTCCTTTGCATATTCTCTCTCTTCCCAGCTTTTTTCAGCTCAGGGTATTTTCTGAATCTGTTTGTCTATTGATAAACTGGCCTTTGACACACTTTTGAGATCTCAGTAAGTGGTGACTTCACTGAAAGTGCTTGTCATTTGGGCTGATTTTTTTCATGGACCAAAATAATATATTATCATAATTCAAAGTCTTCATTCCCGAGTGATGTCAGTTAGCTGAGGTCCATTATTCAAACATGAAGCTAGGACTGGTTTTCAACACGTGTATCACTTCGTATTGACTTTATCAGTCATTGTATTTCCTAGTCACTTCA